CAAAATATATATATATATATATATATATATATATAATATATATATATATATATATACATCTTCTTATATTTTTATATAAAATAATATATTTTTTCTATTTTTTTAAAGAAAATAAAATAAAAATTATCATTATCAAAAATTTATATTATTCTTTACATATATTTAAAATATTTTAATAATATATGTTATATTTATTTTTGTAAAATAAAAAATTTTTCTCTATTTAATTTAAAATAATGGTAAATATATTAAATTAATAATTTTATATTTTTATATAGAATGATACTCAGACGCTGCCTTAAGATTCATTATAAGAATTCGAAATATATTTACAAAATTTTAATAAAGTTTATGTCTAAAAACACTAAATAGAAAAAAGAGAATAAGCAGTAATATAAGAAAAAGCCGAATTTCAGCAAATATAAAACGATGAAGATTTTTATTTGCATTTAAACTTTAAATATGATAGTTTAATTTAAGAAGAATTAAATAGATAATAATAAATAAATGAAAATTTATAAAAATTGAAAGATTTAAATAAATTAGAATAATAATTAAACGAAAAAGAAAAAATGATTTAATAAAAAATTTTAATTTTTAATAATAAAATTACAATCAAAATTTGAAAAATTCTGAAAAAAATTTAGAGTAAATTCTTGATGTTATTTTTGAAAAAAATGAGGCAAAAAAAGCTGAAAATATTAAAGAAATAATAAATCTTACTTTAAAAAAATACGAAATTCCATATTTATTATATATTAAATATATTGAAATTTGTTAAAATATGATTTTAGAAGAAAAAATGATTAAAATTAAACAAAAAATTACGAAAAAAATGAAAGTTAAGAAAAGGAATTTTTAGTTAAAAAAATTTTAGATTTATTTGATTAATTGGATATTAAAATTGATAAAAAAGGAAACTAAGATGAAAAAAAGGAAGATTAAATTGAAGAACTTTAGGCTTATTTTGAAAATATTAAAATTGTTAATAATATTTAGAAAGAAATTCTAGAAAAAAAAGAGGCTTTAGTTAATTTTTTAATATCATAAAAATCATAAGGGGCTTAAATCTAAAAATTGAAAGAAAATTTAGAAAATAAATGTAAGACTTTGGATATTTCTAAAAATAAATTAGACAGTTTTTAATCAAAATATAAAGGTAAATTTAATAACAAAGGTAAAACAATATTAGCGATGAGTTTTTTAACGTTTTTTATTCTAGACATAATATTAATTTTTATTATTTATTGGTAATGAAATTATTATTATATAAAAGTTAAATATATATATAAATTTAAAATATATAAATATATAAGAATGTATGTATATATATATATATATATTTATGTTTATTTATATATTTGTATATATATATATATATATATATTTATATATTAGTTTTGTTTATTTAACTCAATATATTTATATTAAATTAAAAAACATATTAAATGGATAAAAAAGTCACAAATAAACCGTCTGATTAAGCAAAACCTTCCCAATCTCAAAAAAAGCCTGCTAGTATTCAAAAACCAGATTTTAAATAAACAAAACCGGCCTCAAATTAAGTTAAGTAAGTCCAAAATAATATAAAATAAGTATAAAATCCATCTAATAAAGCACAGACTTAATAAAAGCCTGCCTAAAATGGTAACAAATCTACTTAATCTAATTAAAAACCTCAAACTATTTTTTAATTAAAAGAAGAGAATATTCCATTAACATAACTAATGGATAAAATAAATGAATATAAAGAAAAAAATCGTTCTTTGTTAATTATAGATGGTTCTAACAATGCATTTACTTTTTTAAATACAAAGGTACATTGATAGATATTTCTGAGTTTTCCATAAAAGAGTAAATTAAGGCATGTAGCTAGGAAGAAAATATTGAAAAAATGAGAAAATCAATTGTAAATGCATTAAAATCAGGCTCAGTTTTAGTTTTTTATTTAGATAAAATTTTAAAAGATTTACCTCTATATGCTTAAGGCCATCCTTTTTTTAAACCAGAATGCATTTTTATACCTCAAGAAGTCAGAAAAGAAGATTATTTTAGAAAAATACTACTAAAATAAGAAGAAGATGTTGATTATTTAGGTAATAAAGAAGGTTTTATGGTAAAAGATGATTTCTGTTCATGTGTTTTAGTTAGTTTAGATGATTTGGAAGCTTTAGAAATACTTAAATAACTTAATTTAAATAAAGAATTATTTGATGTTTTGAGAATAATTAAATGAATTATAAAATATATACAAAAGATATATATTTATTTTTTATAGTGTTTTTTATTTTAAAAAAGTATTTTGTATAAATATTTTATTTATAAATAAATTAAATGATATAAAATTAAAAATATATTGTCAAATAAAATTAAAAAGAAAATATATATATATATATATATAAAATAGTATATATAGAAGGTACAAAAAATATTTTAAGATAAATGAATAAAAATATAATTGATATTAAAATATTATTTATATTATAGAAAAAAATATATATATAAATAAAAAATTATAATCAAAAAATCTATAATGTTTATAATAAAAAAGTTTAAAAAAATTATAATATAATAAATATAATAGTATATATGATAATAAATATAAGAATAATTTTATATAAAATAAATATATAAAAAAAAATTATAAATATTTAATAATTTAATATGAAATAAAAATATATATATATATATATATATATATTTAAAAAAATTTCTATATATAATTATATATATTTATATATATATGTTTTATATAATATGAAATAATATATTTTTAATTAATATTTTAATATTTCTAATTTTATTTAATATATATTGATTGTAAAAATTTAAAAACAATAATAGATTTAAATTTATAAAGAAATATAATAAAAAAATGATTTTACTTATTTTAAAAAATAAAAAAATCATTTAATATAATATATGTAATTATATTTTTTTTTTATAAATAGGAAAAAATATAATTATATATTATAAAAAATAAAAAATTAAAATTTGTAATAGAAAATGAATTTTAATTAAATATGATAAAATATATAATAATAATTTTTTAAATATTTTTATAAAAAAAAAAATTATTTAATATTAATTTATAAATTATGTTATTAAAATTTAAAATAAATATAATAATAATAATAATAATAATAATAATAATATTAATAATAATTATAATTATAATAATAATTTTTAATATTATTAACTTTTTAAAAATGCTCGATTTTTTTTCTTTAAATTATATATTTCTAAATATATGCAATAAATAAAGTTAATTCTTAATAAAATATAATATATTTTTTTTATAATATTTATATTACTAAACAAATTATATATATATTTTTAATTTTTAGTTTATATTTAATAATAAGTAATTTTTTTATTTTTTTTAAATAAAACTTTTATATATATACTTTTACTAATTTAAATATAAATGAATAAATCTGCGACTTCAAAACAATAATTAAACTAAATATTAAAAGAAATTAATGATTTTTAAAAATAAGCCCAATAAATTTAATCCGAAATTTTATCTTAAGAATAATTTGAAAACAATTAATAAATAAATTAATTAAAACAATTAGCTATGAATATATTAGGAATAAAGTACTATAAAGAATACGACGAGCCTGAATTTCGAAGTTAATTTGAGAGATTTAATAGTTTTGTTAATAGTTAGAAATACGACTTATTTATATAATTAATGTTTATATTTTCCCTCAGTTAAGTTTTTTATGAGATTTTTGTTTATTTCAATTATTGCGATGTTGAATCTTTAAATGAAAAATAATTAAATAAAACTTCTAATAATAATGGTCTTAATATAGTAAATGTTTTTATTGACGACGAAAAATAATAATTAGATTAATTATATAAATCAGATAAAAAAATATTCGGGATTAAAATTTGGGACTAATGTAATAATATAGTCGTAGTAATATAAAAATCACTTAATAATAAAATTTGGATGTTTTGTTTAATTTTGCTCATGTCTTGTTCTAAAAAAAGTATTTAGGTTAAATTTAATGTTTCAAATGCTAGAAAAATAACTAAGCTATTAATTTTTTTGGGATTTTTTTCAATGCTTTTTTGCACTAATAACCCTTAAGAAATTATTCATTTATAGAAAAATAATTTTTTAAAAATAACTAATAATATAAGGCTTAATTTTGATATTCTTTTTAAATTTTTTTATCCTATTTTGACTCTTCATTCAGCTATAAAATGCCTTTCTTTATAAATAATTCTATATTTTTTGTATTTCTCGTTTAATTTATATAATAATTTGGCAACTTAGGTAAGTGGAAATTAAAAAATATACATTTTTTAGGATATTTTTATGCTTATTTTAATTATTACAGGATTTGTGATAAATTAATATAAAGATTATGAAGAATTTCTAATAGAATATAAAAAATAGGAAAACTAAAAAAATAATATAAAAAATGTTATAAAAAGTATATTGTAAAGTTCTGGAGACGAAAGTAAATAAAGTTAAGGAATTCTCCAAATATGGAAAAACGTATAAGAATTGGCCTAGAAATAATAAGAGGAAGAAAATGAAAAAAATAATATTAAATTTAAAAATAATTAATAAAATATTTTTAAGAAAAT